TATTCCTGTTTACAGTATAAGTACTTTCGATTTCCACTGGGTATGAAATGTGCTATACAAATAAACTTGCCTCGCCTTCACTTTACAGCACATCCCAAAACAAAACCCTCTTTAAATACGTTCAGACTTCCACGCAAGAATTTCCACAACATTCCAATGCTAAATAATCATTATAAATCTCATTTAACAGTGCTACAAACAAACATCACAATATATTCATTCAATTCAGCTGATTTCAGATATAAACACCCAATAAATCCACATGCCCAAAAACACAGAACGATCTGAATGTCTCCCTTGAAATCTGATTTATTTACTGTTTTCATTCTAACATGCAATCCTGAGATCAAAATCTAAATGTGAACAAAAAACAGAAGTGAGATTTCCACACTGTAAATATTTACACAAAAAAAAGTGATGACAACAAATGTTTTATGCTACTTTAACTTATTTCAATAGGTTAATCAGGTCTAATCTAATATTCTTTGTCAGTTTGACTGAAGTAGAGACGACTGAAAAGTTCATTTGATTCAACTAAATAAATAGGCAGCACATTTTATTATAAAATGCACTGATGAATGATGGGACATTAATATTCGACTAAAATCTAAAGGGTTCAAAATGAAAATAAATACTGAGAAAATCTTTAAAGTTGTCTAAATGAACACACTAAAACAAATGATTCAATGGATTTACTCAATTTAACGTAGGTGTCTATTGTGTCTTTTGTTTTTCACTCTTTTACAACCTGTTCTAACACATTTGAATCTGTTTTTAATCACAATTATTTCCTTTTATTTTCTTATACACGTCTCTTTTATTCCGGTTTATGTAAAGTACTTTGAATTTCCACTGTGTATGAAATGTGATATACAAATAAACTTGCCTCGCCTTCATTTTACAGCACATCCCAAAACAAAACCCCTTTTAAATACATTTATACTTCCATGCAAGAATTTCCACAACATTCCAATGGTAAATAATCAAACAAACATCATGATGTTCAAATCAAATAAACTGATTTCAGATATAAACACCCAATAAATCCACTGCCAAAAATACAGAAGGATCTGAATGCATCACTTGAAATCTGATTTATTTACTGCTTTCATTCTAACATGAAGTCCTGAGATCAAAATCTCTAAACGTGACCAAAAAACAGAAGTGAGATTTCCACACTGTAAATATTTACACAAAAAAGTGATGACAACAAATGTTTTATGCTACTTTAACTTATTTCAATAGGTTAATCAGGTCTAATCTAATATTTTTGTCAGTTTGACTGAAGTAGAGACGACTAGAAAAGTTCATTTGATTCAACAAAATAAATAGGCAGCACATTTTATTATAAAATGCACTGATGAATGATGGGATATTAATATTCGACTGAAACCTAAAGGGTTCAAAATGAAAATAAATACTGAGAAAATCTTTAAAGTTGTCTAAATAAAGTGCCTAGCAATGCAAACTACCACACTGAAACAAATGATTCAATGGATTTACTCAATTTAACGTAGGTGTATATTGTGTCTTTTCTTTTTCATTCTTTTACAACCTGTTTTAACACATTTTAATCTGTTTTTAATCAAAATTATTTCCTTTTATTTTCTTATACTTTTATTCCGGTTTATGTAAAGTACTTTGAATTTCCACTGTGTATGAAATGTGATATACAAATAAACTTGCCTCGCCTTCATTTTGTAGCACATCCCAAAACAAAACCCCTTTTAAATACATTTATACTTCCATGCAAGAATTTCCACAACATTCCAATGGTAAATAATCAAACAAACATCACGATGTTCAAATCAAATAAACTGATTTCAGATATAAACACCCAATAAATCCACTGGCCAAAAATACAGAACGATTTCAATGCGTCACTTGAAATCTGATTTATTTATTGTTTTTATTCTAACATGAAGTCCTGAGATCAAAAGTGAGATTTCCACACTGTAAATATTTACACACAAAAAGTGATGACAACAAATGTTTTATGCTACTTTAACTTAATATTCTTAAGTTAATCTAACATTCTTTGTCAGTTTGACTGAAGTTACACTAAAAGAAATGACTTTTTAGTGTAGTCAAATCTAATAAATTGACTCTTATAAATATTAAATTGTAATATTAGGTGTCAAGGATGATGAGAATTTCCTAAGTACATAATACTTACACATTTAATTCCTGTAATAAGTGGAAATAGTTATATTCATTTACTCGTAATATTTAAATATTTACTAATCGTCGCAAATATTACAGTAAGTTTTAATAATGCATAAGTCGCAATAGATCGTTCCCAGCATGCTTTGCAAGGGATTGAATTAAAAGAAAAGTATTTTGAAAATAAAAGCAATGTTAGGTGTTTCAATCTGAGAGAAAGACTTTGTTAGAGTTTGATCATCATTAGTTTGGAGATTAAGAAGAGATTAGAGTATGTCTTTTAGTTTTAAGGTAAGCTCCTTGCAGAAGAGCAGCACTCATGCTTTGGGTCTTGACATTTTTATTATCAGCAATAATGTTTGACGCTTCACTCAGAAGATCATAATGTAGCTGTGCTAACACTAATCAGTAAACATGTATAAAGTAAAGTTGCTCTCGCTAAATAAACTAGCTTAAAATAAAAGTGAAATAGCACATTTTAAGTGCAAATGTGCGTCTTAATTAAACCAAGTTGCACCAAATGTACTTATTTGTGACTAATAAGATTTATTTAAATTGATAAAAGCAATGTTCCTTCTGCTTAAACAAGAAAATGGCATTACTGCGTTCATTTAAATAAATACAGACTCGAAAGATAATCAGTTAACTTTTACTTAATTTATTTCGGAGTGTTTGGTTGAACATTAAGTAAATTTTATATGATATTGACAAGTTAATTGTACTTGATATAAGATTGTAAAGTTTACTTGAAGCTTGTGCAAATTGTTCTGAGGACTTCAAATCTTAAGAGTTGTTTCAGCGTAGTAGAGATGACTAAAAAAGTGAATTAGATTCAGCTAAAAAAAATTATGCAGCACCATTTTAACAGTGCAGATGAATGATGGGATCATTCAACTGAAATCTGACGGTTCAAAATAAAAAATACAGAGAAAATCCCCTTTAAAGCTATCTAAATAAAGTGCTTCTGAAAATAACGATTCATTGGAAGTACTCAATTTGTTTGAGGTAAGTGCTTGCAAACAATGTTTATGGGCAAACAAATTAAAGTAATGTTTAACTTAATTTGCATGTTTAAATTCAGCCTACATACACTGCTTGCAACCACTTACCTTAAAAACATTTACTAAATCTAATCATTTATTTCAGTGTAATAAAAAATTTGGTTTAGCTATCTTTACAGTAGGAAAATGTATTAAGAAATCTTTATATGAAACTTAACGTCCTAAAAAAATCCATCATTAAAAGAAAAGCGAACATTTTGACTTGTTCAATGGGTTTTTGTCTATTGCCCAAAAATTTCAACTGAGGTAAAGTTGCTTTTATATTCGCACATTCTCTCATTTAACACTCCCTATGTTGTTTACCTCGCTACATTGAATATTGGGTCTGAAATAAATTGAGGTAAAGTTGACTTTATATTCGCACACTCATTTAACAGTCCCTATTTTGTTTACATTAAATATTGTGTCTTCTTAATACACTGAGGTAAAGTTGATTTTATATTCGCAAATTCTCTCATTTAACACTCCCTATTTTGTTCACCTCTACATTAAATATTGTGTCTCAATACACTGAGGTAAAGTTGATTTTGTATTCGCACAATCATTTAACAGTTGCTATTTTGTTTACATTAAATATTGTGTCTCAATACACTGAGGTAAAGTTGATTTTATATTCGCACACTCATTTAACAGTCCCTATTTTGTTTACATTAAATATTGTGTCTTAAAACACTGAGGTAAAGTTGATTTTATATTCGCACACTCATTTAACAGTCCCTATTTTGTTTACATTAAATATTGTGTCTTAAAACACTGAGGTAAAGTTGATTTTATATTCGCACACTCATTTAACACTCCCTATTTTGTTTACATTAAATATTGTGTCTTAAAACACTGAGGTAAAGTTGATTTTGTATTCGCACAATCATTTAACAGTTGCTATTTTGTTTACATTAAATATTGTGTCGTAATACACCGAGGTAAAGTTGATTTTATATTCGCAAATTCTCTCATTTAACAGTCCCTATATTGTTTACCTCACTACAATAAATATTGGGTCTGAAATCAATCGGTAAAGTTGGTTTAACATTCGCACATTATTTCCTTTAGTGTCTTAATTGTTTCGCTACATTGAATATTGTGTCTGAAATCAATCGAGGTAAAATTTTATATTCGCACATTTGTTCAGTGCCAACTTGTGACATGCTCCCTATTATTTGTACCATGGTACTTTAAATATTAGTTCTGAAACCACACGACTTAAATCAGCATTAGCCAGGTTTATTTGACTATGGACAATGCAGTGCTTTGATAGTCAGTGTCTGCTAATTTAATTCCTCTTGTCAAATAATACTTTTCTGAAATTATATGAAAGAGAAAGTCAGAATGTGCGAATATAAAACCAAATTTACCTCAGTCTGAAACCGCATGTCTACAAAACTGCTTAGATAACATTTCAACAATGTTATACTTAGATAATCAAATATAATTTCCCCATTTGCCTACTACTTTTCTGAATTTATACTATTAATAAGAAGGATGTCCGAATGTGTGATTATAGAACTAAGTTTACCTCAATGAAACATCTCAGAGCAAAATAAGACTATACTTCTGTCAATTCAGGGTCACAAATCAGCTGTTATAAATCAGAAAGGTGAAGGAAGGGACGCCGGTAAATTCAGCTGCAAACGCATTGAGCATAACACAACGATGTAAATACATTCTCAAAAAAAAAAACAATCCTACTTTAGTATTAGGAGACAGGTGTGCTGTCAATCCAGGCCACCGACCGACAGTGATAAGCAACACCGGAGCAGGTTAACGTTATTCACCCACCTTTGTCATCTCAGGCTCCCGCGACTGATGGATGGATGTAGTTTATGGCTCCGCGCGGTGGATTAAAGAGTCGGGGCCGCTTTACACGCGCTAATCAGCGGTTGCTACATCAGCTCAGGAGAAATGGACGGTTTTCGGTTGATGTCCGGTCATCTCAGCGCTAATATCGGCGCGTTGGTTGATGCTGCTGCTGCTGCTGTCTGTCATCACCGTTTCACGCGACTGCACCGCGCCGCCTCCCGCGCACGCGTGGAGAGTTCACGAATCAAGAGGCGGGGAGATGAGTGGGGTGCACTAATAACTTTTCCCCTCTTTTTTTCCCTTGCCTGGTTAATTGAGCATATGCACATCTGCTGCAGATCTCGATTATCTAGCTCTGGGGGTTATAAACTCGCTTGAATTAGATCTAGCCGCCTCCTGTTTGAGACACGTTTAAAGTGGGTCACAAGAAACACTGCATCATTATGTTTCAACCCTAATATTAATGCACTACTACGGTTTTTATAATATTTTGGGCTACCTTTATGTTGGGTGGATCTCAGGCTTTGTTACTCTAACATGTTCAATCAAAAATGAATAAAAAAACAAAACAAACAATCACTGCATCAAACAGAAACAACTGCCTCAACACGTCTTTCTAAAATAGATAATTTCCCGCAGTATTAGGGTAAATTCAAGTCAATTGGGACACTTTTGCCATTGAGATGAACAAGGAAACGACTGCCTCAAACGGCTGGCAAATTTAAATGTAGCAATTTTTTTCAAATGTTGTTTAACAGTTGAAAAACTGAATTAATGTTTACTTTTAACTGACTTTTTAAACTGACATTTTCTATATTCTGACTAAAATATTAAACTTTTATTGCTCCTAAAAAGATATTTCACTCAAAAAAGAAAAACATGTAGATACATTACTCGCAAAAATCCATCATCAAACTAAATCCCTGGTCAGATTACAAAAATTTGTTGTAATTTTCCACATCCCTGCTAAAAAATCCAGCTTAAACCAGCCAACCAGCCTAGGCTGGTTTAAGCTGTTTTTTTCAGCAGGGTTCTTGACAGGGGGGTTCGTAAACAGCATCGGGACACAAGGTTCAATTCATTCAATCGTTTCTTGTCATATAGTGAGGCATAGTGCACGATGCTATCTCTCGCCAATTCGTAACTTTTTGATTTAGTGGCTAAAGCTGCGATCACATTAAAGTTTTAGCATGCGATACACTGAAAAAAGTGTTGCATGCAGAACTGTTGCAAACAATTTATTTGTGTTGAATTTAAACAAACAAATTAAATTGAACAATGTTCAACTTAATTTGTTTGTTTAAATTCAACACAAATAAATAGTTTACAACCATTTAACGTAGAAAAATTTAGTAAATCCAAGGAATCATCTTTGAATAATTTTTTCAGTGTATTCTGTCGTGCGGTGCTGCGAAAAGGGGCGGGATTAAACAAGCTTGTTAGAGATTTTTAAAAGCGAGCGATTGCTCCATGTTTTTACCAAGCCTGAACTTTGCACTGCAGCAACCTGCGAAATTTGATGCATGACCCTGCGTTTCAGGTCTGACGCATTCGCGTGTGTATGAATGGAAGTCTACGGGAGGAAAAGCCCAGTGTGACCGCAGCTTAATTTGTATTACTTCGTATGATCTCATTCATACATTTTAGTACAGTTTGCTCATCTCCCAATAACAGTTGGGTTTAGGGGTGGGGTTTGGTGCCACGCTTCTTATTAAAAATCGTACATTTTCATATGCAAGAATTAGCCACTGATAAAACGTAAAATAGTGAGGTCAGACTGCGACAGCCGAGAACATGTCTGCGATGCTTCATGAAGTCTAGCATGCTTCATTATAAACTCACAGTGGTATATAGATAGATATATAGAGCAGATATAGATTGTCATGCACCATGATCAGTCTGATCTCACAAGGAAACGTAAGTATTTTACATTTTGTCAGTTTAGTGGCTAACTCGTACGAATTCATTCGAGTTCAGCGAAAATGTATAATTTTAAAAAGGAGGCGTGGCACCCAACCCCACCCCTAACCCAAACCGTCATTGGATGATGAGAAAATCATACTAAATGCTACAAATTAGATTGTACGAATTCTTAGCCACTAAATCAAAAAGTTACGAATTGTGAGATTTGCGTTGCCATGACACACTACACAGGAATAAAAACTATTCACTCTTGCGTCCCAATGCCTGTTTGTCATTTCTGAAAGCCCACAACAACCAACGTCAAGAAAAATTGTGGCAAAATAACATCAAATTTGTGTAATCTGACCAGGGTGTAACCCATTTTTGACCACAATTTTCATTTATAATATGTTACGTTGAACTAAGCTACTGTATAACCACCTAGATAACAGATTTATGTCTCGCATAAAATGTTTTCTCATTCAAAAATGTAAAATCTAAATGTTATTATTATTTTGACAGAAAAAACCAAACCCATGACTCTAGCATAATAGACAGAAAATATTTAACCTTTAGCTTTTTTTCCCATGGATATTTGTGCTGTGTGTCAAATGAGGACAGACATACTGTACATTGCAGTTCCTCATACTTTTAGTTTTGAGTACAAACACCAGGAAAGCAATCCATCATAACAAAACAGCCTGTGCTAGTTCAGCTGGTTTTGCTGTCAAATATAAAATTGGTGTTTGTTTCAAAATTCTTACTTTTTTGTGAAATTTAAAACTTGTTTGATTTTTTTTCAGCTTTTTTGTCAAATTTAAAACTGTTTGTTGATTTTTTGTTTGGACTGTGGGGGAAACCGGAGCACCCAGAGGAAACCCACGCCAACACGAGGAGAACACCCAAACTCCACATAGAAATGCCAACTGGCCTAGCTGGGACTCGAACCAGTGACCTTCTTGTTATGAGGCCACAGTGCTAACCACTGAGCTACCCCTTTTTTAAAAATTATTTTCAGCATAATGGAAAACTGTTGATTTTTTTTTGGCTTTGTCGGGTGTAAAAATTGTTTGTTGAATGTTTGTCAAATTTAAAATGGCTGTTTTATTTATTTTTGACACAACTAAAAGTTGTTTTGTAGATTTGTTTGTCAAACTTAAAAAACTGTTATTTGTTTTGCAGATTTTTTAATTAACCTCCTGACTTCTGGGACCTGTTACCAGGTTAGTGACATCATTAACTTCCACATTCTTTAAATTTTAAAGGTCTGTCCTGGCCCTATCCCCCTTTACATGGTTCCGTTCTATCATCAGTAAACATAATAGAATAACTTTTGCATAGATTATGGTGGAGATGATTATTGATGTGCAGGAACCACCAAAATTGATAACAGCAACCTAGACCACACAGAACCTGAGATACACTTCATTATTTGAGTTTTCTGCCACGTTTTTAAACTGTGCAGAGCTGTAGCTGCTTTACTGGGCCTACTACGCTACTTTATTTCAATACTGGTCATTATGGTGGTACTTGGAGGGACAATTTATTTCTGGGGTGATACTCGATAAAAAAAGTCTGAGAACCACTGGTTTAGACCAAACAAAAAAAAATTATGCAACAGTCAGCATCAATATATTCAAGCTACGACAACATCTAACAAAAGTTCAGACAACAAACTTTATTAGCCAAATGACCTTTTCCTCTTCAATCAGAGTTATCAACCTAATTTATTTGGGCTGCTACAAGTTAAATACTGTTTTAAACTAAATGACAGATTCGTTGACCTTCAAATTGACTTAAATTACCTTTAAACTGACCAGCTAAGACCAGGCTGGAGATGGCAGGAAACCAGCCTGGAAATGGCCAAAACCCCTCTAAAACCAGGCTGGTCAACCAGCTCAAACCAGCCTAGCTGCCAAGCTGGATTTTTCAGCAGGGGTGGTAACAGACCTCTAGAGTTACTTTTTGGAGTGTAATTTAAAAATGATTTTTGTTGCTTTTTTGTGAAATTTAAATTATAATTAATATTTCACAAAACATTTTTATTTAAAATAGTCATTTAGTTGAACTTTCTTCTCTTTTCTTTTTTGGAACAATAAGGACCATCAAGTCAGGGTGGTCTATGAAAAAATATTATTTGAAGAAGACCAGGTCAAACACTCTGTGCGTTTACACTGAAGGCAGCGAGAGCTTTAATCGTCGCTCTGCATGGCGACAACGCTGTCTGTCTTCAGCTGTGAGCGTCAAAGTTCGCTACATTGATTTCGTATTTGAAGGGGCCGCTGCAGCAAATCAGTTACATTCCTGCATATAACATGTTTCTAGCATGAAAATGTTGTGCACTTCTTATTAAATTCATTTAACTACGGAAGGTCAAGTTGCATGTTCTGTGGGTTTGCTCCACTTATCCATCCAATATGTGTCCATATGTCTGAAATAACCTGAAGCGGCAATACTGTTTTGTATTGTCACATGAGATTCCCGCTTTTTAAAAGATAAATATATATAACATTAATGCACATCAGTAACTCGCCAGTAACTTTTTACATGCATGTTTCTGTAAGAAAACATTGTAAATAATTGAAATTCCGGTGACTGCAATAATCAAACCCTTGGGAACAACTGTTGTCGGAACTAAAGTTCACAGGTCTGTGTTCTCTAGACTTCTCTCAAGCTGTGGACGTCTACATTCTGATTGCTTGCCGCTGAACTGGGTCATCGCTCATTATCGTAAAGTTGACTTGTTTTCAACTCTCCTCGACGCCCACAATGGAGAAGACGTGCCGCGCTGCTCCTTGCCACTTTTTACCGCAGGCTCTCATTGAAAATGAATGACTTCCGGGTACTTTGACGCTCTAGCCGGTTTCGGTGTAAACTTACGGTAATGGCGAACAATTGCTTATGCTAAAGAGGGAGAGATGGTCAACAATGGGCGGGGCTTTCCCCCTCTGATAACATGTACAAAAGTGTTTCTGCAGACTGTTTTTATCAAGTCTGATTATAAACAAAAAGACCTTATTCACTTTGACCATTAGAAGCTGGTTATACACACACTGCTGACACACAACTGTGTTTAACCAGGTAAACTCCACAGACCCGTTACCAGGTCCGTGACGTCATCGACTTTCGCTTTAAGATTTAAAGGGCTAGCATTGCACCAGAACCCCTTAAGTGGTTTCGTTTGAAAGTGTAAAATCTATATTTTATGCACATATGCATCACTTTGGTTTTTATTTTTTTTTACAAAAGTTATTTACACTTAAATACACAATATTTTGGATACCCCAGCTAGGTATTTTACATTGGTTATATATGTTATAGCTCAAATGAAAGCTCTTGCTGGTGCTCATACGGTTCTAGCATTCATTTTACTGAATTATATTCACGTATCAAACAGTTGCCAAATGAATTGTGGTGTTTCCATGGCTCAGAAGTGAAAACATTACATTTAT